CAAATGAATATTGAGAATAGGGAGTGGCGCCTGTCTCACGCCATCCAACCGCATGGCTCGACCTCACGCAAATGAATCCAGAATCTAGTTTTGGCAGTGTATTTTATTCTACACTCTGTAGGCTTAGCCCTTCCAATTGCTTAATTTATAATTTATTTGTATTTGTGCATCTAGACGCTTACTCATAACCTATCCTTCCTATACCTATCTCGGACTCATTACCTGATCAGGTCCCATTCTATGGATTATTCCATGGGATCTCCAACCAACTCTCTATTTGCAATATCATTCATTCATCCTTACATCACTTCATGTCACCATCCAAACATCCTAATATCCATCTCTCTATGCGACGCGCCCTCCATTCATTATTCTCTTGCATTCAGCATCTGGCTAAATAAGTGGTTGGATAAATTATCGAAAAAGAGGAATCAAGCAAATTACAGCGTGTGAAAAGTTTATTGCAAATTCTCGTCGCATACAGTATTGGGTTTGGCTAAAGAGCAACTATAGGCAAACTAAGTCTTTTCAAAGGAAGGCAATGGCCTTTTACCACATAGGTCTTTGGTCACATCAATCCTGTGTTTATTTACTAGGATAATTAAAATCATTATTTAAGTGACTTTTTTATGAAAGTGCGCAGTTTAAATATCTTCACATATCTCGTCTAAAGGATTTAAGGTACTTTACGGTGGCAGGACACTCTAGTAATTCGAGACTAGCTTGCAACAGTGTGAATGCCGTTCAACAGACTTGTCTAAGTCCATAACTGTCGAAAATATGGTGAAAGATAAGGCAATGAGTATCAAATATGTTAACGTGCAAATTAACATTGAAGAAGGTTTGCACTACTCGATTATTGTGGTAGACCGAAGTAATGTTTAATTTTGGCCCTCTCTATGGCAAATATTTCTTCCATTCATACCCGGTAGTGTTCGCCCAAGTGTTCAAACATGACTAAATGAAAATACTACACCAACCAGCAGATTTATAAATGGCAGTTTTGAAAGAGACATTGCAATGCTTTTACTCTATGGCCAAAAAATCCTGCTGTTATACAAGTCCATGTAAAGCAATTACTGGTAAATTGTGGAAAAGGCACGGGCTAAGGATAATGACTACAGTAAAGTAATTTGGAAAAACACCCTCACTGAGTAGCAAAATGTATTGCTGATGAGGACATTGTAATAAAATTAATTTGGGGACACCCTTTTTAAGTTAAGTGTGTTCTAGATAACTGTGTTACAAATGGATTTTACTGCATGCCAAAATGACTAAAGTGGAAGATTAAGTTTCCCTTAATTTAATACATTCCGCTAGCAATAATTCCACACCTTTGTGGTATCTATATATATCTTGCACTTCGCATTCAATGGCAAGGGTTTTTTATGATTGCCGAAAAATTGATGGTACATTACCAAAGTGGGCAACATTTGCAGACCAAAAATTTGGCTCAATTCATCAAATTCTAGCTGCCTGGAACCCATTTCCTATTTCACCTTAACCTGGAACTCATCGTTTATGAGTGGGACTGGATTAAGCAAAATCAGAGCATATAAGCTTGTCTAAATAGTCCTTTTGATGGTAAAGATGACAAGACGCAGAGCCTTCGGGATAAATGCATCAAAGTATTTTATTAAAACACCAATGATCTCTAGCATTGATGCCGTTATCTGAGCAACAAAACAAAAGTGAAGTTGGAAAAAAGGTTTGTGTTGATGGTTTTTAAAAAAAGCTTGGGCGATTTTAAATTTTACTTCCTTTAGCAAATAGAAATAATTCTTGTTCGAATGGTTAAATATTTAGGGATTGTCAATTTTGGATGTTTTGGTCCTAGGGTATGCAAACCTCACGTGTCGAAATAGAGTTACCTGATATAAAAGACGGTTCACTTTATAGTTTAATGCACCGTAATTTACATTGTGACATAATATTTAGACCAAACAGAAAATCACGGTCCTATTAAGATCCTTTTAGAAAATATCTGTTGGTTTTTATGAGGAGCTAAAATATGCGATAATTATAAAGAAGCCTAAGGTGGCACCACCTACGAACAAACCTTCTAGGAAAATTTTGGTCGTATAAGATTCTTGCCTTTGTCCCTTAAAAACCATTCATAGGAATTCCCCAATAGATCATCATTTTCTATGTCCGAGGTTCGATACATCCTCTGGCCAGTTCGGTGCTAAGCAGTAAACTGCAATAAATTTGAACGCAGTGAAAATCTTCCAGGACTGAGCAATAACTATTTTAAGTTATTGTGGTACGTCGTGTGTGGTCAATGTTTCCATTCAAAGCACTTCTGGGGAGAGATATAGACTAACTCTCTCGTACTTTGGTAAGGGTAACCTAAATCATTGCAGTCAAACATACATACCTGCGAAATCTTTCTACTGCCCTATCAAATTTGCTTACAACCTCAATAGCACTAACATTTCGTTAATTAAAACACAATAAAAGTGACCGATTCCTTAATAACCCTACTTAATAGAGTGTGATAGAATTTGCAAATTGCAATTCGATCTCCAAAATTTGTTTATAAAGCAGAGAAGTTTTTTCCAAGAAGGGTTTATTAGCATAATATTAGCTAAAATATGATGACACTATTGCTCAAAACTGTCACGGCTTATTCCAGCTTAGAGGTAACAATCTGCTTCCAAGTAAAGAAAGGTCTAAAAGTTTTACAAATGATCGTAGATATACTTCAACACTGATAAGATGCTACCACAAATAGGGCAGTCGTTTATCAAACCTTCACTTAGGAAACGCTGACAACGTAGATTGCGAGAGATATTCGTTGGTCTGTTGTAAAGTGTTGGAGGACAATGATACCAACCTAAATGAGAACAGCATTGCTTATAGTTTTCGCAAAGTTGCATCCCACTAATGCTGAATGATGTAAAACTAGTTATATCACTTATCTATCCCTTGGGATCTAATAAAGCATAATAGACCAGAAAAATGGATAACAATCCGTTCAGATGAAGGCTGGAGTCTACAGAGTGAAAATTATGAGCCAGCTTAGTTGATTTAAATGGCAATAAAGCAGTAATTTTCTGAACGGCTACTTATGAAAATTCCTTCGACATGACTCTAGGAAGTCTTTTTATCAGTTTTCTTCTGGCAGGAAAATGCAACCGTTAAAAAGAAACTAGTATCACGGTATAATATAAGTTGGTATTTCTGGATGTCTCGTTCTCCGGAAAGCATGACTTTGTTGAAGAGCTAAAGCCAAACCATGACCAGCGGTTCTGAGTAGTTGAACAAAGAACTTAAAGAAAAATTCCTCCTTCCTTTCTTAATTGATTCCCTGACGCATCTGCTTATTTATTCCTGTGCCTAAATGGTAGAGCACGTCAGTTTCAGGACAGAAAAATATGCCGCCACGGCTAAACGATCCGAGAACGCCCCGACTGGTGAGAAAATGAAACCCTTTTAGTACTCAGCGTATAACGCTTACAGCATGCAAATATCAACCGATATAAATAATTTTTTCTGCTTTCAGGAACAGAAGTTTATTACTTATGCTATCGCATGGAAAGCTAACAACGACATCCACATTTGGGTGTCCTCATATTGATCGCATACAGAAATAATTGCCGAGGTCATAGACTGACAGCTAACATGGCTAGGACCTCTACCTGCAAATGTTTTGCCATCCACAGCACAAATGCTCCCCTTTTACTGTTGTTTAGCGTTCAACCACCACGATCCTGACACCTGAGGTAGTGAAATCCATATTACTGCAAACATTTTCGTTCGTGCATCCGCATCTGAACTGAACCATGAGAGATGTAATGTCGTCCATGAGCAATAACTGGACATATGCTTTTGGTACCATCACGACTTCATCCCATTTTTTGCTGTAAATCTAAAGGACCCTAACCGATTTTAACATGTTATAAGTTAATGCACAGGATCCCTCCCTCTGATTAACTCCTCTTATTTTCATATCATCATATTTATCACCCAACTTGGGAATGCTTTTCGGACAAGTCCAAAGGCCACACACTGGCAATCAGTTGCCACTATGTGACTTCCACATTCAACGGTAATAACACATCTTTCAGAGTTTTTTGTATCAAATTGTTAAACCGCTTTTACAAGCTGTATTCAGTACAAGTATATGAGTCAAATGAAAAAAATACTTTAAGCCGCTTTCCTTTCACTTCCTGGTTTTAATCTGCCTCGCCAATCAGTTGCTATTTTAATGCCGTTTAATGACTTTTCAACCTCTTGAAATCTCTTGAGCAATTAGATGTTCAGTGCCTTGTCATAAAAAACTGTTTTATACCCATTTTATAAAAAGCTTTAAAATTAGGAAAAATTGTTTACTTAAAGTTAAAGGTGTTGTTGATTTACTACACATGATTCCGTTAAAATCTTGACAAAGGTCGGCCGCAATAAATGCCTTTCTGCGCAAAAGCTTTTACTTGAAATTCAGGCTTCAAAATAGATGTATTATGATTCTAAAGAAAGACTATCTACTGTCAGAGCTAGTGCAAAATTTTAGCTTTTTCCACATGATTTAAAAGATGTAGGCGTATGGACCTAAAAGGATGGAAGGTAATTGATGCACTTTAAGCAGATTAGGTGAAAAAGGAATTAAGAAAAAATAAGAATGTGCACATGTCATGATTGTGTAAGTAACCTATAACGTGCACCAGAATAATTGTCCGTGGTGGTTTCAAATGGAATTCAGAGAAGAGCACGAATGGTAAATTGATTGTCTATAGGTGGATCCATCTACGAACATTTGTATGTAAAGTGCGTTGCAGAAGATCGTTTGCCATATGCATTGCTCCGGTCTAGAGGAACTTCAATGAAAGGTGTATTTCAAATGCTACTTCTTCCTACCTGAAATAGACGCCTAAAATGGAGTTAGTTATACAACCTGCATTTCATTTGATCCAGTACATTCAAATATATTCCAAAGTGCTGTCACTGCAAATGACCAAAATTATTTAAAAATCATAGGGCTTACTGATTACGAGTTATTGCAGATGGGTTATTATTCTAAATTATGCTATATACGCCTTCTACATCAATGTCACGCATGTGTGGCATGCCTTTTATTATCAGTCTATCACAGCCGCAAGCTTACTGTTTGTGGCCGAGAGATTTAAATAATTGGTGAATATTATAGCTGGGAAAGAATTCTTATTGCTTCAGCTGCCGCAGCTGAGCTTTTGAGAATTCCCATGTTCTAATTTTTATTGTCCTGAAGACGTAAAGGGCAATTCTAAATTTACCAATTGTTGGTTTACCTTATTAGCCTCAAGTTTATAGTGTCGAACAGATAGCAGCATAAATGATTGTAAAAATTTGATAGGCCTCATAAAACTGCATGGTTATGTATCGGCAAGGGATTGATTGTTCTTCAGCCATTGGTGGTTCTGGAGTATCGTAATAAGGAGCGCCTGAATGTTATTTACCTTTAGTCAGGCCTCGCTTATCATCGTAATGATAACAAAAACTTCTAATCTATAGAAAGTTTGATAAGTGAAGTAAGTGTTAAACTAAGAATCCCCCAAAATGTCTCTTATCCGAAAGAAAGTCACATGAGAGAAATATATGGATGCCAATCCGGTTACAAATTGGAGGGTAATAAAATGTGTTGAGGAATAAACATTACCCCCGTTCAAGAAGCTCAAAAGAATTCTCATTTGAAAATTTTTTAAGCGTTCTCTATCGGTAGCCAAGGGGAAGTCATTGCAACAACTTTGAAACACCGAAACAATTGTACTTCGTACTGATTCAGATAATTTGATGTCTAAGGAAAAATTCACTCCAATTTACTTTAAACTGTAGCCCTTTAAGCAAAAAATACCTTTTTAAGCGCTTAAGAGCGACTTTTCAGCCACCGTTAACACCAAATATGACTATCTGTTTCGTGTATTGAATAAAAAACTACATCTGTCTGGCTAAATATCTGACCAATTTCGGATAACCTTTGTGAAAGACATATAAATATATTGTAATGAATGCGACGTGTCTCGTGTCAAATATCAGGATTTGCCCCTTCAGTAATTAAATGAATAGTTTGTGCTGAATTTCAAAACAGTAACTATTCATAAGTGTTCTAAGTCTTTATCAGATTAGGGGGTAAATGCGTGACTGTTGCTGGCAAATTAACAACGCTCGAGTTTTGTCCAAGTATTGTTGGCTTAAAATGAAACAAAAACGGCTTGAAATTTTATGTCGAATACATGAAACTAAACTCATTAAACAGTCACGAGTAGAAAAAATACCCTTCCACTAGTGTGGCATACCAGAAATTTACTACAATGTGATGTGGGTTGAATATGCTAGATGCAAAGTCAACCAAACATGAGATGATAACGACTTAGCTTGTTTGTGCTGGCGAGTGCCCTAAGTAGTTATTCATCTTTTAATATGGGCCCAGTAATATCATGCATTAACCTCCACGTGGCTATAGTTTATGAGCTGATCATAAATTCAGGAAATGGGACAAGCGGCCACAAGGAGCCAAAAGCACAAGAAATGAAGAAAATTTGTAAACTTTGTCCCCAATATAGCATTTAATGGGTCGAGATGGATGTGGATAGTTTGAAGAAATTCATTGTTATTTAATTTATGGAATCAGGAAAAAAATGTTAAAAACACTATGTTGCTAAGTGCGCTCAATTTTTGCTGAGGCAGTTTTTTCCAAAATCTCCGACTGTGATCAGTGTTTAGAAAATCGCCGCATACCATTATATATCAAGTTTTGGTGTAATCACTAGACTAGTTGACCTTTACGGGGTACCAGGTCTTGCCTGAAGATCATTAAGAACATAATGCTGTAGCATCACATATACTGTCGACGCATAGAAGGGATAGGATACCACTGGCATAGCCCAAAGTCCATGCCGCTCAGTGGAAGTACAAAATTGAAACCGTAAGTGCTTATAAAACATGCACAAAAAATTAAACAAATGACTATAATTTTATCGAATATTCAAAAATAATTATTAGAAAAAATGGCAATTTTACTACAAAGTTAGGTTTCTTAGAGAAAATCCGGGCAAACGGTAATGCAATTTGTTGAATAAGTTTCAATAAGTAATTTGCATAAAAGTTGCTTTGAGGAGGATGTCTTTGAAGAACAAAGAGACTTTTAAATTAGAAGGTAGTCAACGCTGACATTTATGATAACCGCAATTTAACTAGGTTCTCCTGGCTAAAACAATGGCCACTTTTTAGTGATTTAAATCCGCAAAACTAAATATAGGAGGCCTTTTTTTATAGCATTTTGTCCACGCAAAATAGAAAATATGCCTTAGTAATTCATTATTTTTATGAAACCGACAGCTTACATAAAGCTGTAAACGTATATTCTTGAGCTCTTCTATTGCCCATCCCATCGGTAAAGTCAGGTAATGTTAGTTACAAACATTTTTTTGTTAAAATAGCAGTATAAGCATACCTACAAATTCGTCGAAACTTACATGAATATACGTTTTGCTACGTCATATCCTCCACAATGACTGTGCTGAACAACTTATTGTGTTAATGGGCTGCTAGCACTTTGACCAGTTTATTATTTTACTGTTATGATGTTTTAAATTACTGCGTACTGAATAGTTGACGTCTAAAATTATGGTCCCGTTTAAGGAACAACTGTTTGAAAGATGCCTATCTCCTATGCAGCTCTACAACAGGCTGTACTTTAACCAATCCTTTTATCTTCTGTATTTCATAGCTTCATCTTCTCTAATATAACCCTTATCCTGTGGACCAGACCCGTTACCGACTTACAGAAGCATGGCGACCTTGGAACTTCTACAATGATTGAAGTTTTAACTGCTGATCAACTGGGAGTTACTTTTTCTTTACTGTAATTAAAATCGTGTACGCATAGCCAGAATTTCTTCCAAGTTTCTCATTCACAAGGAACTTCCTCTCAGTAAACAATTGTTGGCATTCCATTACTTGGATTCTTGATCAGCGTCATTTGGACTGTTGTACATTTACCACCAACCATATAATGGAGCAACTCTACGATAGCAGAATCCTAGACTGATTGTGATCAATTTTTTGCACTTGTATAAATTATTAAATGAGGATTTATTCATTACTGAATTCATAAACCCCTTAAAAATTGCCCTAGATTTTTTCGCGAATTTTAGAGAGCTGCATTTAATTATTTTGTTATCCCAAAACAACTCTTAGTGAAATTCATAACTTCCTAAATGAATACTGCCTATCGCATGAACGTAAAATAAATGCATTTTCCTTTTTAAAACAATTTAAAGATTGTAAAACTCGCAGTCCTAAGGATCGGGCTACAGTTGAAAAATTAAATTTTTCCAGAATGCCTAATTTAAATAATTTTTATTCATTTTTTGGTTTTCACACAACTGCCTCTTAAGAAAACAATTATCTTTAAGGCTAGCGAATTGTCTAACTCGGGCGCATTATGAGATAGTTCACTGATAGCAATAAGAATATTACCTATGAAAGCGGTTAGTAATACAAAAGATACTAATATCCCATAATTAGTCTTTTTAGCAGGACTTTTTGGATGGAAATGTCATACGGCTAGTTAAAGAGTTCGCACTTACTTCACAATTGCTGCCTTTAACGCATTATTACCTACCTTTATTTTAGCCCAGGTCCGTCCACCACCTGGCTGACTCACTTTACTGGTTTCAGTCACCTGTAAAAACTTGATTTATACTCCGCATCAACAGCTGAATATCCTTACTACGGCAAAAGTAC